TTTTTTCATGTTATTTTCATTTGATATGTCACAAGGCGGGTACCTTGCTATTAAAAAAAATAAGTTAGGGGAGGGGAGGGGGGGAATATCTCAGCAAATTCATGAGCCGATTTTAATTTTTTTCATCAAAAATTTTCTTTTTTCATGCCCTTTATTTGATATGTTACAAGGGGTACCTTGCTATTTAAAAAAATTAAGTTGGGGGCAGGGGGGAAAGGGGGGGAATGTGAATGTAACGTAGAATTCAAAACAATTGGGCCCCCTACGTCAATAGATGATTCCCGCAAACTGCATATTTCTATCTATTGCGGCTTTTACATAAATAAAGATGCAAGTTTAAAAAAAAACACCCTGTATATATTCCACACAATAGAGAATGCGATTTGCATTACATTGTTCATTAAAAATGTTGGTTTCAGAAAATATGTTGTTTCCCTTGCAATTTTGTTCGGCAGAGGTATTTATTTGAAACTTTAGAATTTGAACAGTTAAATTCCTCAAGTATAATTTTAGATTTAAATTAAGCACGCAATTTTGATAATGTAGACCAGTTTTATGGTAATTAAATAACTTATGTTCTGTTGTTGAAATGCAAATGAATGAGCAATCATTCATTTAAATTCTAAAGATTTATTTGCTTATCACAAAGTAGAATTTTCTAGTTTATTTAGAACAGAATCATAAACACAATACACACTCACACAAGTTGGATACACCGCTTTCTCGAATAAAGGATATAATTAGGCTATGTTTTACCTAAAAATAAACATAACTGTTAGCTAAAATTCTGTTTGTATATCAAAGGTTGTTTTTGAAATCTTAAAATATACTTTTTTAATATTGAAAATTATTGCATAGTTTTTCAAAGTTTTGTAAATGGACCATGATATGTATACGAGACTCTTATATTGAAAGAAACAAAAGGCATTACAGTAGACTGTTGGATATTGTGTTGATTATTATTGGTTGTTGGTGTTATTTTAGATAAAAAATCTTGTAAATTTTACTATGTATTATTTATGTTATTTACCTTTCCTCTATCCAATATTTAAACAATTGGGTGTTAAATATTAGTAAAAAGATATATTGGATGTCAGTTAAAGTGACTGCTTTTCCAGAAGTAGTATTTTTTCACATTATATGTAAAAATGTCATGTAAAAGTCCTTCAGAAATAGTTAGATAGCTAATCAAGAAATGAGTGCAGGGCCAAGTGCCCTTTGCCTAAACACTTTGACGAGGGTCATTTAACAGCCTGAGGCTTGGCGGGGCGAGCGCCGGCCAGGTATCAGTAACCGGTTCTACAGTGCGGCGGGTATGGGGGTGGAAAGATTGACCAGTAGGGATGAGCAGAATTTGTTTTTTTGGATGAAATGAAACTGTTATTACCTAACCTAACCAAACTTGCTAATTACGAAAACATTGAATGAAGGTTTACTAATCGATTCTATATTAATTTTCAAATCAATATTAGGGTATCCCAGTTTGGAAACTGTACCCGTTCTCCGTTACATCCTGCCCACTACACCCCTTTCCACTAATATCCCTTTCCTGTATCACTCTTACGCTCTTGGGAATCAAACAGCACTCGGGCCTATCTGATGGTTTTGACAGTTTATGATCCCCACGGCAAAGAATGGAACGGCACTCGCTCCGTTTCCCTCAAGAAAGTATCTACGGCTTAAAACTATTTTTCAAACTGATTACGATTGCTTGTTGATTATGATGGGATTTTAGATTTTTTTTTATCCTTTGTTATAGCGATTTTTTCCTTTGATTAAAAATTATAGACATTAGTAATTTATTACACTTAATGATGATTGACACACAAAATTATGGACACTATGTTAAAATATATTTTGCCTAAACGATTAAAATAAGTAATGATTATTTTATCACCATTATTAAACAATCTACAATTTTCACTGGTCCATGTTCCTGTTGGAAACGAGATTGCTGCTTTATTTAATCAGCTGTAAATCCACCAGCTGATTTCAAAAGCATTATTTGTTTTATGTGCAAGCAATGATGTTTGGACACTGAAGTAGACATCTTATCTATATGGAAGGTGTTACCAATTTTTTTATTAAAAAAGAAAACACTTAAACAAGCCACTCACAGATTGCGCTACAGATGTGTCTAAAACTATATTTTCTCCTTAATTAACTGTTGTTACTAAGATAGTTTATTGCCATAACAGATGGTACTCTAACAAAGCTGCAATAAGTTTTACTTTTAGTTTGATTTGATTAAAACGTGGGTGCATTCATAAGAAATACATAATTTAAATCAGCATACTGCTCTGCCGGCTCAAAACTGGTTACAACTTTAACTTGGAGTGGGGTTGTCTAATTCTATCCATATAGTCAAAGGTACAAGGTTAACTTCTTTCATATGAGTACACACAAAAATTGTACTATAAGAAAATTACTGCATTGTTAAACTTGTATTGTACTGCTTGTGTGTGACTGTACACTGTTTAAATGTTGGCAAAAATACTTTCTGTTTAAGAGCTTACGTTTATGTCCAGGTCAAAATGAGAGTGGCAAAAGTATGTGGCTCTCTTAGAATGCTTATGTGCCTAATTCTTTCTAAAATTTTGAATTGTGTGTTAAAAGTTGATCTAACAAATAAACACATATATTTCACAATCTAAATTTAATGCCATGAAAGGATTACGGTATTTCAACTTTTTATAGCTAACTTTTTACAAAGTTTATCCATTTTTCACAATTTAAATTTTTTACATCTTGTGGTTTTATTGGTAATCAATTGAAAAGTACTCATTTAATAATGTGAAATGACAAAGGTGTAATACAGATAAATTGTGTTTAGTAATAAACATACAAATATAAAACTCATCCTAAGATTTTACTGCATAAGAAAACGCTATATCAAACAAAAAATTACCAAATTAACAAACAAATTTTCACTGCATGACAACTCTTTTACGTCTGTCAACTAACTCTAATGTTCAATTATTAACTCGTAGTTTGAAATAGTCTGACACTTTCAACAAAAGCTCTAATATTTTGTTGTTTTTCAGTGCTGATAAAGATATTGAACACCGTCTCAAGGATGACGCAGGATTTTTCGTGTCCGAGGTGCCACAAAAGTTACGCAACAAAAGGGACGTTGACTCGCCACATGACGTACGAGTGCGGTGTCAAACCAAGGTTTCAGTGTCCGGTTTGTAAGCGGAAGTTTACGCACAAGTTTAACCTTCACGCTCATCTGATATGCCATCAGAATCAGAAAGGCTTCATGGAAATGGGTGGTTTAAGGGATACGTCTCCAAGCTATCAGAATCAGAATCAGAAAGGCTTCATGGAAATGGGTGGTTTAAGGGAGACACCTCCAAGCTATCAGAATCAGAATCAGAAAGGCTTCATGGAAATGGGTGGTTTAAGGGATACGTCTCCAAGCTATCAGAATCAGAATCAGAAAGGCTTCATGGAAATGGGTGGTTTAAGGGATACGTCTCCAAGCTATCAGAATCAGAATCAGAAAGGCTTCATGGAAATGGGTGGTTTAAGGGAGACACCTCCAAGCTATCAGAATCAGAATCAGAAAGGCTTCATGGAAATGGGTGGTTTAAGGGATAAGCCTCCAAGCTATCAGAATCAGAATCAGAAAGGCTTCATGGAAATGGGTGGTTTAAGGGATACGTCTCCAAGCTATCAGAATCAGAATCAGAAAGGCTTCATGGAAATGGGTGGTTTAAGGGATAAGCCTCCAAGCTATCAGAATCAGAAAGGCTTCATGGAAATGGGTGGTTTAAGGGATAAGCCTCCAAGCTATCAGAATCAGAAAGGCTTCATGGAAATGGGTGGTTTAAGGGATACGGCTCCATGCAGTCAGAATCAGAAAGGCTTCATTAAAATGGGTGGTTTAAGGGAGACGCCTTCGTCATTGACTATCTCTGAAACTCCGCCAAGAGAGGCTTCATCTTCATAGATAAAGTCTGAAACTACGTGGAGAAAAAGTGAGGTTAACTCCACAAACAACTCAACTCTTCCGATAACTAGTTCTCATTTGGATACCTTGAACAAGTGTTTGCCTTAGGAAAAAATACTGATCGTAAATGAAGTGAAAATGGTGTTGTTTCAACGTGATGGTAATGTTTCACAAATTAACATATTACCTCAATATTTCCTCTTATAACTAAATAAAGATTATATATTTTGTTTAGTAAAAATGATAAAAAATTTAATTTTTGTTCAAAGTGAATAACATAGAAACACATATTGTTGGTTACAAAGAAGTTTGTTTAATTAATAGTTACAAAAAAATTAAACACTCTGAAATTGATTTTCTTTTTTATGTGCATTTATTTATTTTTGTGAATTTGAATAACCATATATGAAGGAGCTTTTACGTTAAGAGTTAGTTTTATGGATAAGGAATTTAAAAGAGTGTCTCTATATATTGTTTTGTTTGGTTGTGAAATTGTATTGCTTTTCTTCTTTTAGAAAGATACACATTTACTTTGTTGATGTGGACAACAGTGAGTGTACACATAATGTACAAATTTGTTATAGAATATTAACATTCTAAAATTCTTCACCACTAGAAGATGCACTGTAACATAGTGTTTAAGTTGATAATGTGTCATAAACCAATGAGCTTCTTACATCTTTACTTTTACCCATTTTTTGTGTGTTGTTGCCTAACTTTAGAATTTTCTATTGAACTTATCTTATAGCATGTGACTAAAAAAATATTCAATACAATTTCTGGTATCACAATAAGATGAGAAAGAGTTTGTATCTTATATCTGTTGGTTTATTAATACATTTCAATCCCAGCATAATTTTATAAAACGACCTAAAGCTTTACTTTTTGCATTGTTACATTTTTAAACAATATTTGCTTTTTTCCACTTATTTATTGCCAGTTAACAAATTTGGATTTGTTATTGTTATTTCTGATTCATTTTGAAGCAAATCAGAATATAGTTTATATTTATTACTGTGCCATTATGAAGAAGACTGAGATTCGCAAATAACCAGCAATAAATTCCGTTTTGTGGATAGCAGAAAATTTATAGTCTTGATTGATTGATTCTTCAGTTTGTATTATCATAGACTAACCAATACAAGTAGACTTGTCATCCCATTGTAAATTTTGAAGCACGTTTTTCGTGTCTAGTTCATGTGTGACACTGGGCGCTAGTGTCGACAAAATTTTGTTTCTATTATTTTAGGGTTAATTTCTTGATTTGTGCTTTACTGTTTGGTTATATAACTAGGAGACAAGTTATTGTTTATGATTAGATCGTAATATTTCTCTAAATGAGGTTTTAAATTACTGTAATAACTGGAAACAAATTGTAAACAAAACACGACCTCTACATAAACCGTACAGAACTAACAATAAAATTGTCTTCAGCTGTTGCATAAGGATGAGAAATCTACTTGGGGGAGTATGTTTTATCTATGGTATTATAGACCAAACATTAATGCCAATTTAAGTTAAAATTCACTGTCACCTGTAATTTCTAAGTTTTCAAAAACATGTTTCATTCAAAGTTCTTGTTGAACAAGGTCAATACAGTATACTTATTATTTTATAGATCATAATCAAAGTACAAATATTTGTATGAAACAAATCAATATTAAAAGTCTTGTATAGGGTAATCAGCAATAAAATGTACTAATCTTTACACAAGAGTTTTTGTGTATGCACAAAACATTGTATTCTCAGGTATAAACGTAATGTATTTATAGTTTTTATATCTCAGAATGTAAATCATATAATACATTATGATAAAAAATATGTTCCGTAAGTCAACAACCAATAAATATTGCTGTTAATATTTTAAAACTTCTATTAAAAGCTGTGAAATATCAATTTTTTTCATTTACATTCAAAGAGACAACAACTAGATGATATTTTTGTAGACTGTGTACAGTTCAAGTTATTGTACATAATTTGTATAATAACTCTAAGTTTTTGAAATGTCAATGTCTTTTTCTATACAACAAATAAATCTTTTGTACATATTTTTTAATAAAATTAGAGATGCCATTATTATAGAATGCCTTTTATTTTGCCCATTTTAACGTTGACTATTAGTAGAATAAATTTATAAACAATGAAAAAAGTAAAAATGTTTATCTTACTAGAGATGTATAGAAATTTAATAATTCCTCAATTAACTTGATGGATATAAAACATAATACTTACAGGTTAAAATGAATTGGAATTACTGTAAATTATTCATTATTTTAATTGACTAAATTTTAAACAAATTAAAATTTAATTTGGGGGATTTGGAATCTGGAAATTTGGCAAAATAATTTCCAACATAACTGATCATTTAAAAATATTCTATAGACATAGACATGTTACAGACAACTACTAAGGATTTATTTTAAGATAAAAGCTGTGACTTTGACTTATGAGAAAAAAATTTTGTAAATTGAATTTTATTTAACATAACATAACCTTTATATCTAACTACAGTTTTTTTTTAACATAATTTAGTTCAAATTACTGAGAACTGTATCTGTTTTTTTGTGCAAAAACGGAGAAAATTTGTAAAGTTGGGAAACTTGGCCTAGGTCTGATAAAATAAAGCAAGTGTTCCCAGGCCAGAAGAGGTTTTGAGTGAGAAAATGTTTTGTTTAAGGTACTAAACCTGTATGTGACCCAAACACTACATGCTGGCAAAGGCGGCCCCACATAAAGGCGAACAAGGCGGGACCTAGGACCCCACACTTTTTAGGGGCCCCGCACAGCTGTATTTCAGGTATAAGGAGGAGAGGCTTCGGAGGATTGAACTCTGCCTTGCAAAGTCTACGGCCGCCACTGCACGCTGGCCACCTGTATGCGTGTTTTCCCAAAACCCTTCCCCCAAAAGAAATAATGTGGAGACAGTAATGTTGAGGTTACCAGTATTGTAAATGTAGTATACAATCAGGTATGATCAAAGTCATTTGGTCAAAGGCTTTTACTCCCTGGCAAGGAGACAACTGAAGATTGCAGGTTCATACATCTTGGTCAGGTCTGGGTCTGGTGTGTTCATAAGCAGCTCACCTTCTTGTTTGTGGCAGAGCTTAATGAAAAACAGTGTCCAGGTAACACGTAAACTTATGGCAAGCCTTGCCTTTAGTTTGCTACAAAAAAACTTATCTGTCAAAACTTGCCAAACACCTGAGGCAAGTTCTCCCCAGATCTATGGATGGCTCGTTCGGATGGATATTGAGATAAATAGCTTCTTGGTTTCTTTGAGAATTAAACATCAAATCAGGTATTTTGATTTTACAAATTTTTACAGTCTGTAGGCCTATATAAGATAAATGTTTTGTAAATTGTTATTTTTTTACACGATAGGTGCTGTTTTTAAATGAATTAATCTTATTTTACAATTGGATGAGTTTATTATATCTTGTTTGCTCAGGGAGTACGGCTAGAGCTCGACCATATCTGCGAAGAACCCAACTCACGCACACACTTTCAATGGTCCATGCTAATCCCCTGCGTCCTTGCGTGCAAGGCCTGCATGTGTGTGAGTAGGGCAGATCCTTCGGCCAGCTATACACCCTGAGCAAACACGATGTATTATTATTATTACTATCAATTGAGATGGGGACGCCACCTAGGTGCGTACTTAAACCCAAATGTCAGTAAAGGATGAGTGTAGAATGGAGTGAAATTATCTGTGTAGCTTTGTTACGCACTATAACCAGCTGTTTTAATAGATAGGATCAAGGACAGCTGGGCCCGGTATCAAACCATTAAAAAGCTACAGTAGACTTTTTGCTGGATCAGACCAGCGACCTTTTGATTACTAGGCGAGCACGATAACCACTCAGCTACTCACATTATTGTAGCAGCATCCGAAATCAATGATAGTATAAAAAAATTGTAACTATGTCCGCAAAATTTATTCTCAAACAAATATTTAATTGGGAGTGAAGATTCAGAGGAAACCTGATGATAATAAAAATAAAGTAATATAAAATTTATACTTGATATAGAGTGAATCGAGTAATGTCAACTCACAGTCTAGATCTTCTATCATTTAGGTCAGAAAATGAAGCAAAAGAAGATTATATATGAGGGGTTGAGAGGCCAAGGGAGATAAGTGACTTTTTAAAAAATGTCATTGTATTTTTTTCAGAGTCATAAAAATAAAATAAAAATAAAAATAAATTCACTTAATACCCCTTGGCTTCCAACTCTTAGGTGTTTAGTTTGGAGGCCAAGGGATATAAATGAATTATTTGTTGAAATTCCACCCTTTTTTAACAAAACCCGTTACCATGACAACATTTTTTAAAAAGTCACATATCTCCCTTGGCCTCTCAACCCCTCATATAGCCTGACACACTTCCCTATGGCTACAAAAACAGGACTAATCAGCATGATATTAGTTAAGTTTGTCCTACAGGTAAACTCAGTTCAGCTTGGCTTCTGTACTAGATGCTGGTACAAACTAACTGCTTTATAAACTAATTTTACAATTTTTGAACTTACAATAATCATTTGGGGATTTGGGTACAGATTACCAACAAAGTTTTAACACTTTAAACTTGTAGTAATTTCATTTATAACTACCAGCATTAATGATTCTCTGTGATTTAGAAAAGTTATGTACATTTGCTTTTTATGAACTTAATCTGTATACCATTTAGTGTATTTATGTTATAACAATATTTAGATGATGAGTGTATTTTTTCAGTGTTAAAGCCACATACTATATTTGACAATAACTTATATTGGGCAGGCAGAATATGAGACAATAATTTTTTTATGATTGTACTTATCACTTAAAAGAATTTTTTTGAGTACTGTAATAAACCGTGGATAAAATATCTTTAAGATTTAAAGTTTGTTGATAGATTTTGTTGATCTGTTTTTTCCAGAGTTCTTGATGCTAGTAGATCACTATTTGCACATTTTGCCAGCATGTATAACATCTTCCGGATGTTTTTAGCGAATCTCCCATA